CCCCCCCCCCCTCGGAAATTCAAATCGCCCCTCCGAAGAAAAAACACTGGAAATAAGTATCAATTCGTTTGAATATATTATTTTGTTCTTTTTTTTTTTTATTTTTAGTTTATCTCGATATAAATTAAAATTTTCTCCTGATAAAGTTGATACAATGATTGTTCAAGCTATTTGTATGTATTTTTTTTTTATAATTCTATATGAAATATATATATATTTTGTTTTTGTCTATAGCTTTATTGGATGATCTTGATAAAGAAACAAATAATTATATAATGCGTTGTAAAGAATGGTATGGTTGGCATTTTCCTGAATTAGCTAAAATTATACAAGATAATATTGCTTTTTGTAAAACAGTACAAAGAATTGGTTAATTAATATTCTATTAATTTTTCTTTTTTTTAAATATATATTTTTTTATTATTATTCATAGGTTATCGAACGAATGCAGTTGAACTTGATTTATCTGATATTTTACCTTCTGATATTGAAGCACAAGTAAAAGAAGCTGCAGAAATATCTATGGGTACTGAAATATCTGAAGAAGATATAACTAATATTCGTCATTTATGTTCTCAAGTATGTTTAGTTGAATTTATTAAATAAGATATATATTTCATATTCGATTCTAACATCGAAAATTGACAAAAGCTAATAATCTATGATGATTTTAATAACCGCCCCAGTCTGAAACTAATTTATGTTGATTGGTCCCATACTGAGATTATTAGCTTAATAATATTTTTGTATAAAAAGGCAAAACTTTATATATATAATATATGTTTTAATAGGTTATTGAAATATCCGATTATCGTGCACAATTATTTGAGTATTTAAAAAATCGAATGATGGCTGTTGCACCAAATTTAACAGTATTAGTTGGTGAACTTGTTGGTGCTCGACTTATTGCGCATGCCGGTACGTCTATATATTTTCTCATTTTTTCTTTAAAAAAAAAATCAATGAATTTTCTAATCGTAACGTGAATTTTAAGTTCATAATGATCTTTAAAATAGACGTACAAATAAATTATAAATACCCTGAAAAGAATTCAAGTCCTTAGATTATTCCTATAGAGGATATCGCATTTTTTTTTTGAATAAATGCTTTGATCTTCTAAAGAAAAATAGTATTCGATTTAAAAATTTTTCACAGAGATCGATTTTGATGAAAGTTTATTATGAAGATTATTTGAACTGGTCGAATTGCTCAACTCTAATTCTTGAATTTTCTCACCTATGAAGATAAATCTTACGAGGAAACATTCCCAACTGTCACATTGCTTTTGAGTCGAGCGTATGCGCATTATGTAGACCCTAACGATCTATAAATTCTCTGAAAAAAGGTCGTGCCGTTAGCTTATTACTGCCGAGATATTGCATTTTTACTGTATGTTTAAGAAAAAAATAGCCGTAGTCCCCCCTCAGGAACACTGAGAAAACTGAATTTCGATTTGAAACTTTGCACAAATATAGTTCTCAATGAGAATACTTTATTGTGAAATTTTCAGCTCTTTTCGTTGTTCCTATTCTAATTTACAGCTATAGTAAAATTGTTCATATACACAAGCAGATCCGATGTTCTTATTTCAGACTAGGAACAACCAAAAGATCTGAAACCTTCACAATAAACTATTCTCATTGAGGCCTGTCTACAGACAAAGTTTCAGATGGAAACTCAAAACTCAGTGCTCCTGAGGGAGACCACGACTTTTTCTCAAACATACAGCAAAAATGCTTTATCTCAGCAGTAAGAAGCTAGCGGCACAAACTTTTTTCACAGGATTCATAGATCATTAGGGCCAACACAATGCCCATACGTTTGACTCAAAAGCGATATGACAGTTGGGAATGTTCCCTTGTTAGATGAAACTCGAAGAATTTTGAATTATATTTAGGATCATTACTCAATCTTGCTAAACATCCATCATCAACCGTACAAATATTAGGTGCCGAAAAAGCTTTATTTCGTGCAATGAAAACTAAACATGATACACCAAAATATGGTTTAATTTATCATGCATCATTAGTTGGTCAAACATCAGCTAAACTTAAAGGTAAAGTTAGTCGTATGTTAGCTGCTAAAGCTGCATTAGCCATACGAGTTGATGCACTTGGTGAAGATACACAAGCAACACTTGGTATGGAACAACGTGCTGATCTTGAACGAAAATTTGCTTTACTTGAACAGAATGCTGTAAGTAATTTTTTTTGTTTTTTGTCTAAAATTTTTATTATTTCATATTAGTCCAAACGTATATCCGGTACCGGTAAAATGCAAGCAAAATTTGAAAAATATCAGAAAAATACGTATGTAGTGTTTTTTGTTTTTGTTTTTTGTATATTTCTATGAATTTTAAATTAGTGAGAAGGGTCAATTTAATCAAGATCAAGCATCAACATTACCTCAAAAACGTCATTCTGATTTTGGTGGTCGAGGTGGTGCAAATAAACGATTTAAGAGTAACAATATGAATAAATCATTCGTAGTTTAACAAATGACATAGAGAACAAAAAAACAAATTTAACTGTCATTTACATATTCTTTGTTATCTCTTTTTTTTCTTTTTGGCTATAGATGCCTGTAATTGTTATGTGTTTTTTTTTTGTAATGAAATAAAAAAAAAATGAAAACAAAATCAAATAAATAATAATATAAAATTTTTTTTTTTGATTAAATAAAAGTCCTGACTTCTCACTTGAAATACTTTTTTAAATAGAATTTCAAGTAGTAAACGTCAGGTAAATTATATTATCTCATATTTCGAAATGAAAATGGCCTTGTTTCGATTTTCTTTTATATCAATAAGGTTAAAGACAGAAAAATGAGTACAAAAATTCATCTTTCTTTTTTCCTCTTTGACAGTCTTTTATATATATATATATAAAAAAATTCAAATGACTATAATTTGCTTATAGTGCTCTACGTCAATGGACAAACTCATACATGACATCCGTTGTGCTCTCGACATAATTATAGTGTGCACATATATACAGGAAGATGAAACGGAACAAAGCAAAAAAAAAAAAATTTTTTTTTTTCTTCTTTTTGACATAGAATGATGTGAATATGGCATCGGACTCGCGTATATTGCAAGTTTTTCAATGATGAAATAATCAAGTATATATATATGAATAGTATACGAATGAGTCTAAAATATAAATCAAATAAAATACTTATTCTAGGTCATATATTGAAAATGAAAACATGCGAAGATAATTGGACAACAAAAATCATTTAGTTTAACATGAAAATACTATATGTTTGTTCTTCATGAAATCAATTAAAAGAAATTACATTTATTTATTATCTGTTTAGAAAAAAGTTAATTGTTTACTAAGTCGATATCATCATAAAAAATAAACAGGACTAAATCATATCAATATTTTCAATTAGAATTTCATTACAAACAAGTAAAAGTATGATAGTCTTATCAGATGGAACGACAATCATGTTTTTACAAAAACTTTTTATCCATAAATCATCTTAGATAGAATGGAAATTTTATTAAAAAACGAATCGAACTGCTCAAAATTACATCTATTTTTTTTTTTTCAATCTTAAACTGATCTAATGTTCTTGGAATAAAGTTAAGAAAACTAAAGGTCAAAATCATCTGTATAAACTATTTCAAATATATTTTCTTTTCAAGGCTAAAACTTTTAACAAAGAAAGAAATTATTTCATTTCTTTTCTCACCAATAAAAAATTTTTTTTTCCAAACACCAATAAAAAAAATTCCTTATTCTCTGTCGGCCTTTCGTCTTCACCAATTGGATGCAAATATCATAGAGCAAAAAAGAAAAAAAAAACTTTTCTCTTTCTCTCTCTCTGCCTTGTTCAAATTAATCTTATTCTTGCTAACTAATTATTGTCGTTTGAAACAGGAGTACATATTGCCTTTCGTCAAGCAAAAAAAAAAAAAGAAGAAGAAGAAAGCAGATCATTATCATCGGGTTTAAGCTTAAAAATAAAAGGAGATAATTTACTCCCCGATTATTGATCGTTTTCTTTTATATTTTGTATTCATCAATGCATCGTCAACCGTAATTATTAAAGGGAAACTACGCTTACGCTCGTCTAACTTCATTAATTTCTTATTCATTGTCGCATATTATCTCATCTCATCTATATTATTATCAAGGGTGAAATTGTCTCAAAATTACTCAATAAACATATAGTCAATACAACAAAAAAAAAGAAGAAGAAAAAAATCAAATTAGTTAAACAAAGAAAAAAAAACCAACCGGAAAAAGAAAAAAAAACCGAGAGAGAGAGAGAGAAAAAAATAAAAATTATGATGCATAATGAACCATCAACACAAACTCTTCCACCACCATTACCATTATCATATGAACAAGAAACAAAATCTAATGGTTTTCATGATTTTACAAATCATCATCATCATCATCTTCATCAACAACATCAATCATTAGATCCAATTGATTCTCAACAACAACAACAATATTCAAATTTTATTCAACATAATACATATCATCATCCAACATCGGATGAACAATTTTATTCAACAACACGTAATTCATTTACATCATATCCATATCCATATTCATTACCTTATCCATCATTAACACTTGATTCAGGTAAAGATTAGAAAAACAAAAAGAACATGTTTTATTTTATTTTAATTTCAGATGAAAAATGTCATTATGATGAACGTGATATTCAACCAAAATTAACAATTAAAGGTAAAAAAATTCGTAAACCAAGAACTATTTATTCAAGTATGCAATTACAAGTACTTAATAAACGTTTTCAACGTACACAATATCTTGCACTACCTGAACGTGCTGAATTAGCTGCTTCACTTGGACTTACACAAACACAAGTAACAAAAAAAATAAAATAAAAATAAACAATTTACTTTTTTTCTACGTTTTTTTTTTAGGTGAAAATTTGGTTTCAAAATAAACGAAGTAAACAAAAAAAAATTGTCAAAAATGTTAGTCATCATTCATCATCATCATCATCCTCCCAATCCCCCAACCCGAACCCATCACACCATCGTATATCTCGAATAATCAATAATAAACATAATGATTCTATGTTTTTAGTAAAACAAGAACAAGAACAACAACATCCATCAATATCATCTACTTCATCATCATCAACATCAATAATTTCAAATCCTATTGAATCAAACTCATTTAATATAAATGCAGTTTCATCATCATCATCATCATCTCCATATGCACATATTGAATATACAACTAATCCAAATAATCAATTTTGGTCTTTATCACCTTATGTAACTAGTTAAGATTATATTTGAACGTTAAAGTTGTGAAATGTTTTTCGATGTTTTCTGTCTGTGTGTATATTTATATGAACAACACAAAAACAAAACAAACAAAAAATTTCTCTATATACGTATATATATATCAGTTCATACATAAATTCGATAAATTTTTTTTTTTTTACAAAATACTGTTCTTTCCACTTCACAATAGGATATGTATAGTTAAAAGCCTTGCGGCACATGATTATTTTTGTAATGAAAAGAGAAAGAACAATTATCTTCTTATTTCGATACTATTGTTGTCACCTGATCGAAAAAAACAGTAAGAGATGTTAATCTCTCTACTTGAAAACATAAAGACATCTGCTCAATTGAGAATGATGTTGTTGTTTCTTATGCCAAACTTTCAACTATGATTTCCTGTTGTAATAGTTGATGTGTTGTTCTTTTTTTTTTTTTTTAATCATGAATACTAATTACAACTCGACATATCTCCTCCTTCCATTAGTTGACAGGCGATTTCATAATTAGCTAGACCTTGTAAAAAAAAAAACCATGAAAAAACCTAGAAAACCCAATTCTTCGTCTTTTTGAAATGATTTTTCTTTTACAGTTGAACAGAGATATAAGCTGATTATGATTAAATTCTTTTTTCAATTGTTTGATCTGAATTTTAGTATACCTATCGACACGTGTATGACATCCGGGAAACAAAAAAAAAAGAACCTGATGATCAATATATGTGTTAGTGTGTGAATAGCGATAATAACTTTGATCCATTCCTAAAGAAGATTTAAACTGTATTATCGGAATTTTTTTTTCTCTGTGTATCGATCAATGACAGGTCAACATTGAAATTGTTTATGACAGCAAAGACAATATAAAGGCCAATTATGTTAGTCGTCATTGCTATTCATGCGAATGTTCGTTTCGTTTTTTTTTTTTTTTTTTCGTGATAACATGCTGTGGTCGTTGATACCGTACGATGGTGACTGTTACTCTTGATCGATGATTATATCGGCTGAATGAATGTCAATATATAAAAGGGTGGAATCGTGAGAAAAGAAAGAACGAATGTGTTCAAGTGTAATAAATGTTATTCTTTTTATATAAAGAATAGGTGTTATCGACAGATTTAGATTTTATAGAGAAGAAAAATTTAGATTTTTTTTTTCTAGAAAAAAAAAAAAACATTGCGTGTATATAGCTAATCCACTATAGGTGGTCTTCGTTTTAACTTTTCGATGAATTTATACATCACGCTTGTTTTTATGTATCTCAATTTAGATTTGATTCATGTTTATAAGCAATTAGCTTTGGAAATAGCACTGTGATGTAATCAAGCGAGTATGTAGTTGTTGTTGTATGCTCGTGATCGATATTCAACCAACTATGAGTTCAGTGAGGTGTGAAAAAAGATACGTTTGTTTTGATTGAAAGGCGGGATAATAACTGAAAAGAAGAATACTAATCGATATTGCTTAAGGCATTTAAACTCATCTGATATTTACAAAAATACAAAGATAAGATTTTGAAAATATTGAATTAATATATCAAGTAGTTTGTACAAGTGCTAGAATTAAATTTAGATATTGTCATCGTTTACTTTCAAATTCAGACTGAGATCTTGATGTTTTTTTTTAATTCAATAATAAATAGATACTTATCATATAATCATGGCTATGGTCATAGAAAGGCCAAGACTTACTATAATTAAATCTATTTTAAAAGTCAACTGCTATTAATAAATAAAAGTAATGACTCATAAAATTGTTGTTCAAGTCATCTGTTCGTAAATGATGTTATATACAGAATAACACTCATTCACCCTCTTAAATAACAAACAACATTCAAAACAATGATCGATATTAAATATTGATTTATCAGCATTCTTTTTTTTTTTATAAACTACAATCTGTGCGAATACAATCTCTTTAGTTTCTTGTTTGTCGGAAAAATGATACTCATCAAAAAAAAAAAAAGAAAAAAAAAGAAAACAAAGAGTATGTTAGATATTTGTCTGTTATATAGATAATATTACACCAAACATATTCATATCATCATGCTCAAAAAGCATATCAATTTTGTTATTCATTCACTATTTTTTTACTCATGTATTATTTCAATTTATTTTATCAACATACTGGCGGTGATAATATTTATCAACCAACTTCGTTTTCTCCATCAATATATTCCTAGATACTTCAACGATGATGAAATTGTTCAACGTCGGCTTCATCGTCTCATTGCTTCGATTAAAGGAGAAATAATAATATTATTTGTCTAGATATTGTCTGCTTTTCCCTATTCTAGATTATGATGAATGACGAGTCACCATACCATGACTTGATTATATTTTATACATTGGTTTATCGAGGCTACTTATACTTCATTCATTATCTTGGTATTTTACACTGTTATTTATTTCATGATATGCCGAAACAGAGCCTGTTAATGTATGGAACAAGCTTCAAGTGAGTCCGTTTCATCTTTTTTGCAACGCGTCCAATAAGTATATTCCTTGAAGTATTCTATTCAATAGCTTGTTGACATCAGTTTGCTGCTCATTTTTGTGTCTTCGTTTCGTTAAATTTTATCTTGAATATTTTTTCGATAAATAAAATCAAAATGTTTTCACCAGGAGACTAAGAATATCTTTAAAAGAGCCAATAAAATTAGGAAAGAAAAAAAGTTCATATTTCGTCCGAAAAATTAAGAATTTTTTTATTTACTATTATTCATATAAATACTATCTATCTTGCGTTATTGTATTGAAAATGATAAACGATTATTAATATGATAAAACCTCGAGCCATAGTTAAGTTGGAAACAAGCTAAACTGTTATAATATATTTTTGTTTAAGGAGAAAAAAATCCTCAAATATGTTCTTACAATCCTAACAAATATGGCATCGAGGATGTGGGTGCTCAAGTAGTAGTTCTCCCTTTTAATACCCACACCAACACCCCATCCGTAAAAACTATGATAAAATGCTTCACTATTGTATCTTTTATTAGTAGAATAATTGGAAAACATTACATATTTGTTGTCAAGATGAAATAATTTTATTGAACGTATCGTATTATTCCAAGCAATTTGGTGAATTCTTGGCTTCGCCAACATAACATTTGCATGTTTCAGGATTTTTGTTCATGACGAAGAAATGTTCGCGAGCTCCATTTGCAAGAAAAATGGGAGGGATCTCGATCTATGCACGACGTTGGTGAAGGTCCACATGGAAGACTACCACGAAGTGCTATAGATGGAAGTTGACGAACGTCACTTTGTTCTATTGGTGCTCTAGGAGACACGGCACCGATTATGATAATCAACACATAAAAACAGACAAATGAGCGCTGATCGAGTCGCCAGTCATATATTGCATTGCGCTACATCAAAAAACACGAGGTTGCAGCGTCGGCTAATTTAACACTTCGGAATCCTTTTGTAACTGGAATTAATCTATTGTGGGCGATTTTCTTTTTTTGCTGGCTTCAATATCGTCGAAGGAACCGTTCTCAGGCGACGTTGTTCGCCTTTTCCAGTATCACCAAATTAATTCAGTACCGAAAGCAACTCTGAACAAGAAGAAAAAAGCAGATGCTCTCTATTCGGAATACGCTGGTGAACCACACAATCCAAAGGATATGCTTGGGTGTGCGTGTGAGTGGAGAGAAGATCCTAGCGACACAGCATACATTCACACCCACACTCTTTTTGAAAATCAAATGAGCGACCTTTTACCCTCCTTTAGAGAAAACCTCTCTCCAATATCGTAGTATAGGACTCAAAATTTCACCGTAGACTCACCATTACAACACCAACCTATCATGAAAGCTTCATACGATTTCAATTTACCGAGTCTGAGATCGAATGATGCATTGGCAGCTTAATCCTTCACAAAACTGTTTGAAAGGTAAATATTCTTTCCAAACTTTCTATATTGGTGTAAATTCGATTTGCAACGGAGCTTAATACCGTAGGCGTTTATTTCGTAACAAAAATAGGATGCAATATCGATATCATGAAATCATCATCAAAAACTAATATGATGCGATTGAAAATATCGAAACACATACGGAACATAAGACGAACGCATGATGAAAAAGGTAAAGTGATACGTGAAAATTGCAAACATCTGCGCCACATGTACCTGTACAAGCTCAAGTCTAAGATATAAATATATATACGAAGGAATAGTTCTGAGACACTGGTAGTTCTTTCTGACAAACATACGTTCGTCGAACCTGGATAAATATTTTGATATTGGCTGAATTATAAACTATTTTCAATCTCTATCTCATCGAAATGATTTGGTTTATAACTATTTCAATATCAATTTCAATAACAAATGTTTATACATTGGTTTCTATTGGTGCTAATTTGGACAATGTACGTGATTGGAGTCGTAGTTTATCATACGTTAATTTAGTGCGACAAGCACGTGTATGGGGTAGTGCAGATAAACCTTGGGACGGTAATGCAACATTTGATCGAATAAGTGGATGGCCAAATAATGATTTTGGAATGGTATTAGCAGCAGATCATGTTGATCTGGATGGAACATATCTGTTATATGCCAAAGGCAATGCACAAGTATCAACCGCTGGTGGTTCTCCTGCAAATATAAATAATAAAACATATGATGCATCAACAAACACTCTCACAGCTATTATTAATGCTCCACAAGGTGCAACTCAAATGATGCTTAGTTTTCGAAATACAACTGGTCCTGGTTTAAAAAATATAGTTATATTACAACCAGGCTACACTTTATCATCAAAATCAAAGTTCACAAATTTAATATTAGCACATTTATCACGTTTTAATATGTTACGATTTATGGATTGGACTCATACAAATGACAATCCTGAAGTTAATTGGAATGATACAACATCAATCAATTGGCCACAATATACAGCACCTAAACGTAATCCATGGATAACAATTCCATTTATTGTTAATGAAATAAATAAACCAATCGATATTTGGATAAATATTCCACATGGTGCTACGGATAATTATATATATCATATTGCACAAGTAATGTTGAAAGAGTTAAATCCAATAAGTAAAATTTATGTTGAATATTCCAATGAAGTATGGAATTCTTTGTTTACACAAGAACAAGCAAACCGTCTTGCTGCAGTTGATTCTGTTCAAAAGCATGGTGATCCATTACGCTTAAATTATGATAATATTTCAAATTCAAACACTTGGGGATATCGACGAACAGCATATCAAATAAAACGGATCTCGGATTTATTTCAAAGTGTATTCGGTAAAGAAAATGTTGGTTTAGGGAAACGTATTCGACCAATTTTAGCTGGTCAAGCTGTAAATCCATATATAATAATGACTGGTTTGGACTATTTAAATACTATTCATGGTCCACCATCAAAATTTCTTCATGGTATTGCTGTTGCTCCTTATTTTGATCTAGAGCATTATAAAACATGGTCAAATTTAACAGTTGATCAAGTACTGGATGGATTAAATTCAAGTATTCAAAGATTTTTACCAGAACAAGGTTGGAGTCAACAAGCACCTCTTGGTGTTCATGCTGTTTATGCTGCCTGGTATAAATTAAATGTATATGGTTATGAAGGCGGTCCTGATACTGCTGCTGGATGTGGAGAATGTTCATTAGAAGCAAAAATAAAGGCCACTCGTCATCCTCGTATGACTGATATATGTTTAAGATATTTGAATGGATGGTCAAGATTTGGTTTTCAAACGCTTAACTGGTTTGGAGCTGGCGCCAGTAAAATAACTAAGTATGGATCATGGACTTTATTAGAAGATATGAGACAAGAAACATTAATTGATACAACAAAAATGTTCAATTCAACATCACCTGTTGCTCAACTTCCACGACCATCTCCAAAGTTAAAAGCGATTGATCAATTTCGTCAAAGTTCAGTTCAATTGAAATTTGGAATTCCTATTCCGTCTTATAATGTCAATGCAACTCATTTTGCAGGTTATCGTACACCATCCTCTTATCTTGATTTAAGATATTTCGGTCCAAACTCAACATTTTATTATCCATTACAAATTCTTCAATCACCAATTCAAATTGATTTGACTGTTTATGTTAGTGGAAACTCTGGTATACTGGAAGCATCAATTAATAATGAACAGTTTGTTCGAGTTCAAACACCTAAAACATTCAATATGACAACATTTCAGGCAGCACCACTTATACAATTTAATATAACTCAAACCATCACTCCATCTATTGTGACACTTCGTTTAAAGAATATTCAAACTGATTACGCCATTCATAGTTTCCATGTTGTATCATCAAAAATTTGATCATTCTTATTTCAACTCAACACGGATCCAATTTTCCATTATACTAATTATTTCCTCTATTCGTTCAGTATCATTGTTAACTTAATGAATATGAGAAATAAATTCAATTTTCTCATCTATCTGAACATGAGTATTAGAGTTTACTTTTGTTGAATAAGGCAGTGTAATCATTAGTAACTTTACTAAATTCAGTTTCTTTATTTATGTCCGATAGATTGAAAATATTTATATTTGGCACACTTGTTTGAGAGAAAATCGTATTTTCGTATCAGATTCGATGAGAGCGAAGCTATCGTATGTTGAAAAGATTCAATTTTTAGGTTACAAAAATGTAATCTCTTGGGCATGTTCAAGAAATTTTCTCTATATTGCAGACTCATATAATCCATGTAAAAGTGTTTGGTTAAAAATCAGATTTAAATCGATTTCTGTTTCGATTGAAGATCGATTTAAAACATAAAAAACATGATAATTGATTTAAACCGTGTCATTTAAGACGATTCCCTATGTCTATTCAAATTGATTGCAGGATGTGGGTGTGGATTTAGTTGTGCTCTCTTCTCACACCCACACCTCGCCGATCTTGCAGTGATTGATAGATGTGATACTATGAGTATATTACTATTAAAACTTCGTATTTTTTCATATTGGATAGAAATCATTTTTAAACCCTCATTACATATCTAACAATAGAAAGAAAAACAAATAGAATTATTTCGTTGACTATATGAAAAGATAGAGAATTGTTGATTTTAATTAATGTCCAAAATACCGAACTCTTTAGCTTCTATTTTTATAATTATCCAACAAGATCTCACGATCAATTACCTCTAGAATAAAATTCATTTTTCAATAATGTGGATGATGTAAGAGGAACATTTTTTTTTCTCCTAATCTAAATGATGTCCTATTTATTTATTTTAATTTACAATCAAATTCAAATCGAATGATTGAATGAGAATTCAATAATGGAATTCATGATGTCAAGTGTGTATAGAATAGCAAGAATCTATAAATGAAAACGATATGAAACAAATAATTGAGACATGAAACTTCATGATACAATTTATTCTAGTATATTTACACTTTTTATTCTTAAAAATACAGATGAAATTCTATTTATAACAAGGAAAATATTGATAAAAATCTTTAAAATGAACCAATGATATCTCATCAAAGGGAGATGAATAAGATGTGGAAACACTATAACCCACGACATTTTATTATTTTTGTTTGGTTCATGTGATGGGTGTGCGTGTGGGTGGGTGTAGGTGTGTGGGTGTGGGGTGTGGGTGTAGATATGCTGTGCGTGAAGAAGAACTACACCCACACCCACACCCACCCACACGCACATGCACACCCACAGCCACCCACACCCTTCAAATGCAATAAAACAACATTATCTAAAAACTATTAGATATGCAATGTAGTACATGAATATGGTGTCTGTATGCATAGTGATGAAAATGATCAATTTATTTCAACGACGGGCGGTTATCATTATGTGTCTAACCATGATCGATTAAAAGTGAAAATTTATGCGAGAAAAAGAGAAATGAAAGAACGAATGTCTTGGTCGATATTTCCCATTTTGATATTTTTCTTCCTTCTTCGTATGTTTTTCACTCTCGATATTTCGCCTTTCGGTGTTTTCTGACAATGCCATCATTCTATAATTTTAATTGTTAATCGATGTCGCTCAGTGTACCATATTTTAAATGATGAAAATCGCAAGTTGCTCACTACTATCGTTAGACATTCTATTTGGCAATACTTAGAATTACACATTATTTGTTTTTAAATTGCAGACACAACTAATGAAAGTTATAAAACTATTTGTGATAAGAATTTTTAAATCAAAGTGAATATGAGATATTGTTTTAATTATAAGGGAATTCAATTTGTCGATGGAGACTGATTATCCGAAAATGTTGAACATAGAAACAAATTCGTATAATCAGCATAACGTGCTTGGATATCTTCTCGATTGAAACCAAATTCGGAAAGAGTATATTTATGACGACCTTGTTTGCCCTGAGGATTTTCCATAAGCCAATTATGCATCGCTTTTTCGAATTCGTTTGACCATTGAAGATTGAAATAATCATAGATTTGATGAACAACACCAATGGGATTCTTCATCAAATTGTCATAAGTAATATCTAACATATTTTTTCTCGATTGATCAACTTCACCATTTTGACATGTACGAAATTTCATTATACATTCGATTGATTTATCCATATTTTGACAACATCGTTTCGTTATTCTATCTCGACTGATTGAATTCGTTGCATTAAATTGTCCATTTGCAGCTGCCATTAACAAACTACACCATGAAGGAAGAACTTCATCAAGAGATCGATGTGTCATAATTAATAATGCATTCGGATAATGTCGAAGAAGTCCATCAAGATAAAAAACATGGAATTGTGTTTTTAATAACCAATGTGACTTCGGTGCGTCAACGGAATTTAACATGCGCACGAATGTTTCATGATAATCATATGCATAACTTTTGTTCATTTCATTACGGATCCAACTCTCAGCATTAGAATCTTCATCGTTGGATAGAAGTGTAAACAATGGAAAATAGCCGGCTTGACACAGGATATGACAATCTTCTTCAATTGGAAAATGTGGATGAGATGCAGCTGTTTGAATGAGTATATTGGTTAACTGTTCACTTTCTTGTGAAGAAGAATATAAAATATCGATTCGTCGTTTTTGTTCGATCGAATCAGATCGTGCAATCGGTGGAACAACGTCAATCATCATATCAGTGTACAATGGTGCACGACAATTCGGATCGCAGGCAAGCAAATTGTAGAGTAATGTTGTTCCTGTACGGGCAAGTCCGCAAATGATCAATGGACCAATAGTAGGCAAATTTTGATCGCAAAATTTATTATGTTTGGCTGCATAGTTTAGAACACATTTAAAATTTGTGTGCAACTTGTGAAGTTCTGATAGAAAAAACTTTTGGCCAACATCTGTTATCAGTTCATTACAGAGTACACTTTGACAATATGATTCCAATGTATTCAATACATCATCGTGATACCCAAATTAACATTTAGCTTGTTCAGTCAAATCATTCTCATGTAGAACAGTATTGTTCAATAGTGTCGCATGAGCAACATTATTCTGATCTGATGTCATACTCATTGAATTCAGTAATATGTTTAGACTGTTTTAAATAATTATTTTTCAATAAATATTGCTTATGCTAACGGTTTATATAATAGAACGATGATACAAGGACGAACAATAACAATACACAAGTCACAATCAGGTGATGTTACACTACTTACCACGTTATCAGCGTATGAAGAAAAAAAATACTATCAGAGCTTCGACAATAATGCTTAGAGAAATAAAGCAAATGATACACAACGCTTATCTTCTTCTATTCTTCTACTTAGCTGTTTGCTTGACAATGATTTCATGTAATAAAAAAGGTACTAGTGCAGAGTTACAGCTATCAAATGAAAGTTGACATTTTCGTTTTTTTTTAACAATAATATAACGAAAAATATGATAGTGATTGAAATTTTTTCTTTTTTCTCTTTTTATTGAGGATTCGGGCGGGTGTGGGTGTGGGTGAGTATGGATACGGTGTGAGTGTGGCTGTTGGGTAAGAGAACTACACCAACACTCACACCCGATGATGAGAAAAATGGACGATAATTACCATTTTCTCGTCCAAACCATTGAAAGACGGATATCTTGGTTGAATCACGTGAATTATTCATCTGATACGGTGTTTATCTTTTTGAAAAGCATCAACGCACTTTAATTCATCTTGTTTTTCTGTGCAAGTAACAATATAAATAGTGGTAGGGCGGGGTGTGGGTGTGAGTGAGACACAACTGAAAATCCATACCGACACCATTCACACCCCACCCACACCCACACCGACACCCACACCCACACCCACACACCCACACCCCACACCCACCCACACCCACACCCACACCCCACACCCTTTCTTGAATTACTTGAAAAGTAGTTCAGCGTACTTGAAAATAACAAAAAATTCTTAAAAATAGGAAAAAATAAGTTGAAGTACAAAAGTTCACTGTTTTCCCCTGGTCCAGACCCCATGAACACAAATATACACATAGGCATATTTGAATTAGTGTTTGTTATATGAAATCCTTAGTTTTGATACACACAAAGCTCGAAATAAGCTTTGACATTGGAATAACAAATAATGGGATTTATACATGCGTATATGTGTGAAGAAAGAAATTGCTACGAAAAATAGAAAGAAAAACTAATAAGGAATGTTCTCAACATCTTCCGTGTACGAACTGGAAGTTTTTTTGACCCTTATTTCAGTGACATCCGGATGTTCAAGTCGAAGCAACTGTGCCTCACAACGATGACTTTGTTGAAAGTATTCAATCGCTGCTTGTTGATCGCCTTTTTTCTCGCATAATATACCCATGGCATGATAATTCCTAATAACATCTGGATGTGACTCTGGAAGTGACTTCAACTTCACTTCCAATGAACGTTTGTAATATGTTAAAGCCTCATCGAATTCACTGCAAGCAACATAAACACTGCCAATGTTAAACATAGTGGTGGCAATAGATCGATGATTGTCGGGCAGAGTTTTCTTTCTAATGTTAAGAGCCCTCTTCAAATATTCAAGTGCCAGTTTATTACTATCATCATTCATATCTTCGATTGACATGTAAATCGAACAGACGGAGCCCATTTCATGATAGCAAGAAGCTACAGAACTATGCATCTCACCATGATTTACTGTTAGCATCGACAAAGCTGTTTTTAACGATTCTAACGCCTGACTTTGATTACCCATTCGTCCATAAATTGCGCCAATAGATCGATAAGAATCAGCAATGAAATCATGATTGGCTGGGAGAAGCTCCTGATACTTCTCAAGTCCTTTCTTATACCACTCAAGACTTTTTTCATATTCATCTTTTAACTGAGCAATATTACCAAGTGAATGATAACAAACTGCAATGTTCCGTTGATCGTATTGAATATTCTTTTGATTAAGCATTTTGTGCAATGCATTAATATAACAAGTTTCAGCCAAATCAAATCGACCTATGTCCAAAAGTACATGGCCTAAAGTGATAGATGAATTATCATTACCAAGATGTGTCGCTGCATGAGTCAGTAATGTATTTGTTTCTATATCTATAGTGCATAATTGTAAATTGATCATATGAATTTTTTCCTTATCATCGTAATGAGTGTCCAATATACGAAAGATAGATCCAGCCATAAAAAGTGTTTCTTCTTCCTCAGGAAAATTACTTTTCAGTCCAATATCTGCAAATGGCATATCATTGTCGATGCTTGAAGGATCAGCAGAAATTATGAATAAAACACGTTTCAATGAAGTTATCGATTCGACACGCCAGCGGTCTGAATTTTGTGCAGCATCACCAAGAATAAATAGAGCAAGATCTCGATTGACAGTTGTTGAAAAAAAAGATTTCATTAATACTAAACGATTAACAGACTGTTCCCAAATACTCAATTCCTCAACTGACAATAGCTGACCACGATATGTTTCAATCGGTACTTTTGCTTGTAATTTTCGGAACTCAATTAGTTGGTCATAAATGTCACTAATAAAAAAACGCATATGAAGAAGAATTTCAATGTTTTGTTGTCGTAATGCCTTGTTTAAGCTTGTATAAATAAACGTTGGACGTGTATACCTTTAAAATAAATGACATCTAATTATTAATTTTTTCGTTGCTAGTCTCTTGTCTCGTCTGAAAGAGTAAAAAACTTCATGCTATCAAGATCCGTAAGGATATATAAATAAATGCGAAAACTTCGGATTTAAATCCGAGAGTTATGTGTGCTTCAAAAAGTGAATCATACAAATCAGTCATTCTAGAATGTCTCAACATCAAAATTATACTGTGAAATCTACCATTTAAAATGTTGATTTCTAGTATGGTGACTTGCCAAACTAATAGAACTTTGGATTGAATACAACTCAAGTTTGAACTCTTTTCCTTGATTTACCCTGTCAAAGTCGTTTTTCCTATAACTTCATTTCTATTAGTCACGGCTTGACCAATAGAATTTCAATGGAAGTGCAGTATACATGCGAGTTCTCTATCTCTGAAAACCTCGAAGTATCATCACTGTGATTGCAAGATAGAGCTCGATTTGTGAATCAATTAGATCATGGACCAAAATCTAATCTAGTTCTTTTTATTTATCCTTGTGATAGGTGAGTCAAACTGCTTGTTTCTTTATGCTTTATACATCATTTTGTAGCTCTCGAAATTCTCTATCGAATGGAATACAATAGTTAGGGTTTTAGTTGACTATGATAGGAAAAGTCCTTTACGAAAGCAGCGGTGGGTCGAATTTTCCACAGGAAGCTATAGGGAAAAATGGGTGTTTCTGCAATAATTAAGGAACGGCTCGACCGATTCATCTTATCCTCTTCTCTCGATCGAGATATTGTAAAGACTGAACTGTGTAGAAAATTTCATCGCGATCTGACTCTCCTTTAGAAAGTTATCGCGTAAACGGCCGAACGGACACACTGACAAATTTTAGAGTATTACTCCCTTTTTGAGTACATTAAAAAAGCTCACATTTCATGATAAGATGGTAGTAACTTTGTAACAAAATGATCGGTGTTACGTACCAGTAAAAAACCTTATCAGTAGAATAATTATCCATGAACTCATGAAGAATCTTCATGTCATTAAGTTTATCGGAGCATTTTTTCTTCCAAAATTCTAGAAAATCGTCCTCATCATTTACAGTCCAATTCATTTTGCGCAAAAAGTCAATTAACTGTCGAAATTGAAGAATATCACCGTCAATAATAAGAGAAGAATCACCATTGTTATTAAAAGAAAAGGTAAATGTTGTTGGAGAGTATCGTGATTGTTCAATTTGTTTTCGATCAAGTTGAATTTTACTAACAAGCTGATTAAATTCATTGAAAATACCTCTATACTGAATGGTAGTAAACACAACTTATCTTTATGTTTTTATTTTATTTGTCATAAATGTCTAACGAATTACCTTAGTAAATTCATTGATTGATGATGTACTCCAAGCTGTATTACGACAATAAATATAAACTGATTCTATACTTGTTATATCATAAAATTCTGGTGTCAATATTTGTGCAAACTTTCCGCTAACAATAATTACTGTCGGCTCATTAATATGTTGCTGTAGATACTGTTCACATTCGGATACTTGCTCAAATACGAGTATCTTAATACTATCGAAAGCACTTCTAAGTTCATGTTGAGCTCGTTGATTTTCTTCGGTCGTATTAATTTGTGCATCTATCCAAATGATTGATTTGATTATCAGATCATTATCTTCATCCAATTTTTCTTCTGAATTCCTAATTCCATCGACATTATATGATGCAGACATTTTTTCAAAAAAATTTTTAATTTGTGAAATGAACACTTTGACACTAAACAATAATTCGGAACAGAACCTAAGCTTATCTAAAATTTAATAAAAACTGTTGTTTATTATTTCCATTTAATCCTGGAGCGAACAATCAAACATCGAGGTCGGAGATGATTCTGCGTCTGATCATAGATGATGTTCTATGATTTCAAGATTTATTTTCAGATGCTTTGGTCTGCGTTTATCATAACTTTCCTAAATTTATCAAACTAATTTTAAAACTATATAATGCATATATCAGTAGAAAATTGCAGAATCAATTCTTTTTCGTCAATTGTTAGACTTAAATATAGATATATTCTAGTTATGCATCTCTCATATCAATTAATTTATGTTGTAATATGAATGTGATTATTATAAAAAAGTCACTGGTAGAGTCATATGCATCACTTCTTGGCTGATCGATATTTGTTTATTCGTTTTGGATTCTTTGATGGTTTATTTCTCTTTATATAGTGCTCTCTATACTCACTTAATAGGGAAGATTTAATCTCGAAATAAAACGAACATCGAGAAGGAACAAAGACAGTCTTAATAATTACATTGTAGTATTCATCATAGTTGGTTTATTCCAAGTGAAAATGCTTTTTTTTGACAGTAATATATGTTAAGCAATGAATATTTCGAAGATAAGGAAAAAAAGACAGAAGTCACATGTCATACACATAAAAACTACAGAGAGAAAGAATTAAAAGTAAGAGTGAACAACATTTCATAGATTAGCATAAATTATGTAGTCGTCATGTACAGATGTCACTATAACTAGAAAAATATTTATATTCGAACTTGAAGACTTTTTGGCATATCAATGTATTTTGGATAATTTCCCTATTGAAAACTAAGAGAATAACATACAATTTTGTTCGAACTCTTTAAAACTAGCTATAGACTTTTGAAAATTAATTTACTCAGTTAGATAACTAGACATTTTATCAGAAAAATAGTTCGACAGTTATATCTTACTTTGAATTATACTTTGTTTTTAGTGTTCTGTAATACTGAAACTCATATTGTCACAAGATATGATCTTGAATAGTTTCTAATTGATGAACTAGAATCATTAAATAATTATTTTCAGAAACTTTGACCTTTGAAAAGAGATGGTTTAATTTTTGAATTCATTTACTAGAAAAATATCTTTTTTTTCCTTTTTTCACAACTAATTCTAATGACTACAAAAGATAATTAATGTCGTAGAATTTTTTTATAAAACAAACTTTTTCATTGGTAGATTCAATAGTAAAATAAATGTGGAAATCTCGGATTTATATCCGAGAGTTATGTGTACTTCAAAAAGTGAATGAGACAAATCGGCCATCCTGGAATGTCAGTATATAAAAATTATTGTGGCAAACCTTTTCCGTAAACGCTTGAATTTCATCACCTACTGTCGAATCGTAGGACTTAGGAGCGTATACACCTCAAATTTCGCCTGTTCGGCTTTATTTAGACTCAGAAAGTCGTTTTTCCTATAACACGATTTCTATTGGTCAATACTCAACCAATGGGGCTTCGAATCAAGTTTAGTGCAGGTTCTAGTTCTCCGCCCCAGAAAATCTTCGATTATCATCTCTACCCAGGATGATGATTACGACGATCCTAAACGACCGTTTACGATCGTTTACGGTACCGTAAACAGTCGTAAACGCTGAAATTACGATCGTAAACGGGCCGTGCTTCACCCGTTTGGTAGCGACCGTATTACGGCCGTAACACGCCGTGACGTATACGGCGAAACACACCCACCATAAACACTGAAACCTGTGCCGTAAAACGGCCGTCTTTCGACGGATACCCCAACGTATACGACCCGATTTCACCGTCCCAGGACAATGGTTCCGGGCTCAGGATCCTCGAAGACCTCACGACGCCATCACTTAGATTGAGATCTTTGAGGATCCTTAAGAGAGCGTCTCTATACGCATCGAGGATGATGCAGCATATTGAGTGACACACAAAATTTTTGACTTTTGATTTTTTATGTGCATTGGATAGGTCATCATTCGAAACTAAAAACCCCAAATTTTCAGCTCATTTGAATGTACTATAGTAAAGTTACGTTTGATTTACTTTTAAGCACTACGTACCTACTACTCAAAAAATAGTCATAAATTGTTCTATAAATGCCTACTAGGACTTTTTTCTACAAGTCATGGGATTTTTTTATGTAATATACCAAATGATAGAGAATTAAAAGCTGAATAAAATGGACTATTAAGAACATCGAATATCATCTGTCTAGTGGGTTTATTTAATCCAAAATGAGTAAAAACTACCATATTTTTTGAGTATGCGATGGGCAATTTTTAGCAGTATATCTGCTGCCATTTTTTTAAATCAAGTGGGCCCAAGCTGAATTTTACATATGTTATACAACTTTTAATTCTCTACAAAATGATAAAAAAGATTTGAAAAAAAGTTTTCCCTTCGAAGCGATATAAATCTTACAATATCAACTTTTTATGGTGGTCATTTGCAGTTTTATGATATAATTCATATAATATTAAACTTTTTAGCTTAGAAAATTTATCCTTAACTGCATGCCATCATATATATATATGAAAAGTACACATCACCACCAACATCTAGATACACAATATGTAAGGTAAAATACCACAGTAATCAAGTCATATTGAACTATCAGGTGATAAGAGATCGCCTATGAGTTTATTCAGAAATCCAACCATTATTCAAAATATTTTTTGTTCACTTAATATCCTCATCTAAATCTATATCATCTGACACTTTTAAAACTCGATCTATAT